AAAGAAAAAAAACAGGTGGAAGAGAGAGAGAGAGAGAGAGAGAGAGAGAGAATAAAAATAAATCTCATTTTAGAAGGATGTAACTTAGTCCCTCAAGGGGGAGGATCCAAGCTCCAACTAGCCCATGATTGCACTGCAATTTCCTTCTATATTTGCTAACTCAGAAATGAAATATGCACTTATTAGCTGTGGGTAAGGAAAAAATTCTTACATTGAATAGAAAAAAACACATTTTCCTTCAGTATTTATTCTATAATTAGAATTACTCTCCCTTCAGGAACTCCTGTGTGACTGGGATTTAGAGGTCTCTTGTGACTGCCCTCCTTCTTTGTGGGTAGCTCTATGCAAACTTCCCTGTGCTGTCAAAGGCTGCTTAGAGTAAGAAATGAGGAAAGAGTACTGGGGTCCAATCTCAGGCAGGATCCATGGATTTTGTCTAGACCAGGTATTGTGAATGGGTTCCAGTGAATGCAGAATCTGTTTCCTTTCTCTGTTGCAATGTTTCTGGGCTCTACTGTTAGGTCAACATAAGAATCATCAATGACTGACTCACACTAGTATATATGGGTAATAACTGGGTAATTTTCTATTGAGGTGATACCACTGGGACTTCCAGGACCATGGGGATGTCTTTATATCTCTCAAATTCTCTTCTAATAAAGTAAAACCAAACACAGAGAGCAGTTTCAAGGGCAGATAGGAGGAACTGCCTCCTGGGCCACCAAACTACACAAAACCCTTTGCCACCCACCCACATAATCAATGCAAGACAATTTTCTTTCTCTTCTTCTTCTTCTTCTTCTTCTTCTTCTTCTTCTTCTTTCTCTGTCTCTCTCTCTCTCTCCTTCTCACCTTTCCCATCTCCCTGCACCTCTTCCCCCTCTCTTGCCCCTCTCCAGAATCCTCTTGGGCTCCTAGCAGTGACTCCACTCCCCCCTATACTTATCTTTCTGCAGCTTTGGATGTGTGTTCCTCCACTTCCTGATGCAAGTTCCAAATTTAAGGTCTAAATTCCTCACATGCTCAAAGGTCTAAGTTCCAAGTCACAAAGTAAGGGGCTTCTATCCTGTCATTCTTTCTTAAAAAAAAAAGAAATTGTAGTGAGGACTAGGGCACTGGTTCTCAACATTCCTAATTCTGCAACCTTTTAACACAGTTCCTCATGGTGTAGTGACCCCCAACCATAAAATTATTTCCGCTGTTACTTCATAATTGAAGTTTTGCTACTGTTGTGAATTGTAATGTAAATATCTGATATGCAGGATATCTGATATGGGAACCCCTATGAAAGGTTCATTTAACCTCCAAAGAAGTCATAACCCATAGGTTGAGAACTGCTGCTCTAGGAGAAAGCAAACTAATATTAACAAGTGACTACAATTCAAGAGATCATGGCATGGCTTGGGGCTCCTTCCCAATGATTCTGTAACTAGAGCTTTGTCTGTGTTCACAGAAATTAAAAATTCTCATTTGAAACCAGTAAGCCTTCCACTTCTGCTGTGGGCTGTGGCAGTTAGAACCATGTGATCACCAATGGCCTTTCTAGACACTTGCATGAACACCACATAGTTTGAGGACTGTTATAGTCTGAATCTCAAAAATTCATGCATAGAAAAGTAATTATCAATTGAACAGTATTAAGGAACATGGCCCTTTGGAGAATAAGCCAAAATGCTCAGGCTCAGCCATCGTGTGTGAATTAGTGCTCTTACAAAAAGGCTGAGTCCTTGCCCTGTCTGCCAATCAGGGTAAAAACCATAGCCCTCACCCAGACACCAACCCTAATGACACCTGTTCTTGGATTTTTCAACCTCTAGTACTGTGAGAACAAAATTATGTTCTTTAGAATTGCTCAGGCTTAGGTATTTTATTACAATAGCACAAGCAGACTATGACTAAGACACGGGCCAAGTATCTGCAAGCTGGGAACTACATTAGGATTTTTGCTAGTTGCCAAATTACCTTAAGTTAATAACTGCTATGGTTTGGATGTTAAATGTCCCCCCAAAGTACAGGCATGTTAAAGTCATTGATCACTAGTCTGTAGTCATTGGGAGGTTGTGAACCCTTTAGGAGGATGGGCATATTAGAAGGATGTATACCACTGGGGCACACCCTTGAAAGAGATATTGGGCTCCTGGCCCTGCTGGTTTCTACTTTGCTTTCCAGCTGCTAGGAACCAAACAACTTTGCTCCTGTATGAGTGGGGTGGGAAGACTGAAAGCTAACATATAGCCTCTATTGAATTATGGGCAAGCTATGCACAGGGAGAGACAGGGCAAAGTGATTCATAGCCTCATCTTAGACCACAAAGAATAGTGGAAGAACAAAAGTGCTAAACAGACAAATACAGCCACCAAACATCACATTTCTGCTTCCCAGTCATGACGCAGAGTGTGATGTACAACACTGCAGTGGAGTGGTGGGGTACACTGCCTCAGTGGCGACTTAAGTATAGTATAATTACAGACACCAGGAAGCTGAGGGAAACTGTGATGGGGTGGTCGTCATATACATACCAGAGAGCTCAGCTTCTCCTGCAGCTGCTGGTCCCCACTGTCCATCCAGTCTTCCACGGCTGTGTGCTTTTCCCTCTATTATTCATGCTTCTCCCTCCACACTCCTTTCTATTCCCCCAGTGAATATAACCTTATTTAAGCTATTCCCCCAAAGCTAAGGAACATTTCATATATCATCTCTGGGGAAAGATACAACCTTCATCATATTGTATCACAGCACTGGGCATTTAATGAAGGCTTGGTGAATGACTCAATGTGTGTAACTAACAAAGCCTTCCTAAAAATCAGAGTGCAGAGCTAAGCCACTAGTTAGCCACACACCCAGTTAAGAGCTAAGCCACTAGTTTAGCCACAGACACACTAAGACACTAGTTAGCCACACACACACACACACACACACACACACACACACACACACACACACACACACAAACACACACTAAGCCACTAGTTAGTCACACACCTAAGCCACTAGTTAGCCATGGAGGACAGGCAGTGGTGGCCACACCTTTAATCCCAGCACTCTGGAGACAGAGGCAGATGAATCTCCCAGAGTTCAAGGCCACCCTGTGCTACATAGGAGTAAATCAGCCTAAAAGACAAAAAAGAGCTCACAACTTTGATCCCAGCACTTGGGATGACACGCCTTTAATCCCAGCACTAGAGAGGAATATAAAGCAGGAGCTCAGTGCTTTCTCAGTACAGTCTGAGGTTTGGTGGAGAGCATTACCGTCTGCAGTCACACTGAGGACAGGATCGCACCCCCGCCCATTTGGTCTGAGCCATGGTAGAGTTAAGAACTCTCTAGTGGCTTGGCTGCTTTGCTTTTCTGATCTTCAGCTTGAACCCCAATACCTGTCTCTGGGTTTTTATTATTCGTGCTACACGTGTGTAAAAAATATTCTTAACAGGGTAAACAGAGAAAACAATGAAACTTACTTTTGCATTCAACAAACATTTATTAACACAAAAGTGAATAAGGCTTGTCCCTCTGCTCTCAGGACCTGGTGCAGAGAGGCAGACATTCACGAAGCTACAGTAGAATCACAGTTGAATAAGTACTATTTATCGAGGTATAGACAAAGTACTTTGGAGGCACAATAGGAGAGAAGGGGGGCAATTATCTACTTTATGCCTGCATAGGGGATCCAGGGAATGCTCCAGAGAAGTCATCTCTGAGTTGGTCTTAGAGGAATGAAGTCACCAAGTGTATAATTAAGAAAGGATCCTTGCAGGCTGGGGTTATATCGATCTAGGTAAGGCTAGGTAAATGAGGGACTCAGGGAATCAGGAATGGGGATGGGATGGGCATGAAGAGGGATAGGAGTTAGCAGGGCTGTTAAAACACAAAGCCAGAGTTCTACTGCAGAAATTAAAGATCTTGCTTCCCCATGAGGCAAAAGACTGAAAGCAGGGAGTTTAGGAGTTTCTCAGACATGGAACTCCCTGCCACTTTCTCAGTCAGATCATGGGGCTTAAACACCAAAAGCCAGAACTTCACAGTTAGGAACTAATTTCTCTAAGCCACAAAATTACTAAAAGGCCCCATTCAGAAGCTAAGGATGTATATGAATAATGAGTTCTAAATGGGAAAAATCTTGATGTTATCACTTTTTTCCAATATAGTTAACTCTGCATTGACATAAAACTAAAAAAATACATATGTTCACAAACCATTTTTGTCTTACCATTATCTTTCATTTATAACTTTTATATCCATCTATATTTCAATATACTTAAGTACAAAATAAAATTTTCAACTTTCAAGTACGTTCTTATTTACATATTCTTTTTTCAGTTGTCAATTTGTGAATATTCTTTTGAAACTTAAAATTTGCTATTATACTGAAATCTCTGAAGTTGAATTTATATAAGGTTCTCTTGTAATATTTTAAAAATTTGCTTCTCTTTTTGAAATATTTAAAACCAATTTTTTGTTTCCCCAAATTACCTTACACGTTGTTCTTTTAAACTACTTTATCTGATTTTGACTAAAATTTCATTTCATTCTATATTTTGAAAAATTTAAAACTCTTATAAGCATACTTCTGTAAATATTGGTTTTCCAATGCATATATTTTATGCTTTAGAATTTTAGAATCTATGCATTTTCACTTTAAACACTGAGTTTCTAAAAGAATTTCTTTTGCTATTTTTAAATTAAAGTGTTTATTTCAATAACTACCATATAAATTTTCATATTTCATCTTAAATTGTAAGAATTTCTAAATACTCTATTTTCACATACTAACAATTTGGGATCATTTTAAATTAAAAACATTTAAAAATATTTCTTCTAAAATACTTAACTTAAAATTTTGACATTTAAAATGTTCTCTTAAAACTTTCAAAAGCGTTTTTAACAATTTTTCTTTTAAAGCTTTAAAGTTTTTCTTTTTAAAATATTTGGTTGTTTTTTCAGACTATTTGTGCACTCATAACTAGAACTACACAATCAATTAAAAACCATTTTCCTAAAAGATACTTCCCCACTTAACACAATTATCTTTAAAGAAATAAAAAGCACATAGTAATTTGAATTTATCCGCACCTCCCTCCACCTTGATTTCCTTAATTTCTTTTTTGTGACCCTTTTTGACCTCTCCTCCCCTCCCCCAAATTCTTAAGGCTAAATGGCCACTGATAGTTCAATGTCTTCTTCTCATAGACCTATGGAACAAGTTAAAACAGTTCCTTTATGCCAAAGTGTCACTTGTTATATACTTGTTATGGTCACCGTTCACTCCAGGTAGATGTTTGTGTTTCTTTAAGAGGTGCTTGTTGTTGTGATGGCATTGCAATTGTCCGTTCCAGGTAGGCTTGTGTATCGATTCAGGATCCTTGCTCTTTGATTTTCTGCAAAGCCTTCTGGGTATGATTATTCTTTATCTACATCTTGCCTGTGATAGAACAGCAAATAGCCTTCACTATAGAGTAGCTCCTCCATTGTAGCCTTGGTGACGATGGCATCATCACAGCTGAACCACTGGTCCTTTTGTTGACGTACGAAGCTGGTGTAATGGCCACTTTCCAAAGTTCCGTGGTGGTTAATCACTGCAAACAAAGAATACTTATTCTCACTGGGCACACAGTCTGCTAATGGCTGGCCTTTCATTATGCTTTCTTTAGTAGAAGCCAGAAAGGGTGTCATGTCCAGCTCCAAAGGAAATGAGATAAAAGTGTTAATCTTGCGTCTCTGTTTGCCCAAATGTTCAAACCGTTTCAGATGAAAGCAGGCCACAATTGGCAATTTCTTCATTGTGAGCTGTTTGGTAGATTCCTGGTAGCTTTGGCATCGACTGCATTTGATTTTGGCACTGCTTCCCAGGTCCTCTGGTCTTGTAAACCACTGTAGGCAATCTGTGAGTGAGGGGCCTCCTGCCTTGCTGCCGTCTCTACTCACTGTGCCACTAGCTCTCTCTGAGGTATAAGAGCCAGGCAAATCCAAACTGATGTCCCAGCATGGGTCTATAGTTGTAGAGACACCATGACAGACTTGGCATGTCAAATCTGACTGCAAGCCACCTGTAAAGATTTGGTCTATGATGCAGTTACAGCTATTGGGGTTCCCTTCTTGCTCGATGCTATCATCTCTGCTGTGTCTATGCAGCACATCCAATATTGCAATAAGAAATTCATGAGCATCCTGCTGTCTATACCCAGCTAGGTGTTCTGCATGAATCCATATCAGATGCAGTAATTTATAAGGAATATGAGGACTTTGGTTACCCGAGTACATCGCTTGAAAAAGTGAACTCATTTCACAGACCAAACACAAACTTGGGCTTGTCATTGTACATTTGTGCTTGTCAGAAAGGAAGAAATCTTTCAGTAGCGGAATACGGGTAAGTGCCTGGACAATACAATTCATAAAGCAAGTGTTGCCAAGATTGATTAGCCCTCTGAGGCCTACAGTATAATACACAGTCTTTTTCCTCCTCTTTTTCTTGGGTTTTACCAGGGTGGTCTCCTGTTCTTTTGACTCACAGGTTGACTGATTGTCTTCAGCCTCCAATGTCATACACTGCTGATAAGATACATCTACTGCAGTGGAAGGCAACAGCCCCAGAATTTTCTCCTTTGTTTCTTTGGCAATCTGTTCTATATCTTTGTCATATACATAATCCTTACACAGAAAGCAATATATAACTCCATGATAGAGGTCAACTGCTAAATTATGCTGTTTTGTTTCTGCATGTATATGGATGTGCTTTTCAGTAAAGCATCCAAAATACACACAGGAGAGACACAAGTGGAGTCTGTTCTTATGGGTATTACATACTTGACAGATGCAGGACTTTGCCTTACGTTTCCTAGTTTCCGGTGTCCCACTCCAAATGAAACGCTGATAGATCATCCGCAGGTTCTTCCGCCAGTTCTTAGCTACTTTAAAGCTCTCTACATGAGAACAGCCTGTGGGACCCCTATCAGACCAAACCTCCAGTAACCTGTTCTCTGCGACATCTAGATCCCCAGAGTAGCCTTGGTCACTAGAGCAGCTTTTTCGTGTTTGGGGTCTGGATACAGGCCTGGATCTGCGCCTGGATTTGCGCCAGGCCACCGGCCGCGGCGGGGGCGGGGGTGGAGGTGGCGGCGCCGGCGGGGGAGGTGGGGGTTTGGCGGGAGGCGGGGGTGGGGCCTTGAG